CTATGTCCATTTTTGTGGTTAAAATTCAGAAAAAATATACTTTTTTGGAACGCCAACTTTTGATTACAGTAAAATACTATACCAATAAGTTCCCGAACAAATCTCCGAAAAAAAAAGTTTCTCAAAAATGACTAAAAATACACTCATTTGCCTTAAAATATGTAGCACACTTCTGATCAAAAGCAGCTTACCATACAAATGAGTCTTAAAAAATATTTTTCTCAAATATGAATAAAAATGCACTTATTTGCCTTTAAATATGTATATAAATGCTTTTTCATGATTCAAATTCAGAAAAAATATACTTTTTTGGATCGCAACAATGTCAGAAATCTATAAATGCTGTAGAAATAAATTAAAAACTTTTATATCCTCCCCATATTTAATGACTATATCAAGGTTGTAGTCCTTGATTAAATGAGCGAAAAATATCAATACATTTTGTTCAATATTGAAAACTTGGAAATGAAGAAGAATGACAGTGTTTGTTTTTGCTTTGATTGTTTTGTTGGGTTTTGTGACAGAGATAGAACTCTGTGACACTGAATTATTTTAAATCTGCTGTTTTCAGTAAAATAAGATACTTGACTCAGTTTTACTGACTGTCGTTATATGGCTGTATTGTTTTTGATAATAAATAATAATAAAAATAATAAAAGTCAAAACAAATCTCCCCCCCCCCCTCCTGTGTCCCAGGGCCTTGAACTCCAACATGAACCTCACCAGCACTCATCAGAACCTGCACATCAAGTCCGAGCCCGCCTCTCCTCCCAGAGACCGAAGCCTTGGCATGCCTGGAATGGTCGGCACGGGACTGACCAGCACAGGGGTGACCATGGCTGGATATTCTACTCTGGGACAGGGTCCCATCGAGTCAGGCCGCTCACCGGGGGGTAGCGCGTCCAGCTGCGAGAGCTCATATGAAGGCAACGACGAGCGCGAGGAGTACCAGTGCAGCGAGGGCTTCCTCCTGCGGCCCCTGTCCAGTCAGGACGAGCGCCACAGCCCGTCAGTCAAACGCATGAGGCTATCAGAGGGCTGGGCCACATGATGGGGTTCAAGATGGGAGGTGACAGTTACCTTATAGTGTTATTATTTGACTTACTATAATCAAAATGTACTTGTACTGAGTGGGTTTGTTATATGTGAAAAGGTAACAGAGTTATAAAAGTTATACTGATGCTCCACTGTATTCACAGCATGTACTGTAGCTGCACTTCTACTCTAGAGCCATAGCTGCTGAGAGATAGGGACTGGTGAACACTGCTATGACTAATACTCTCTAGGACAATTTTCAATTCTGTATGTGATTATATATATATATATATATATATATGCACATACATACTATATATGTCTATACAGTATATACTGTAATAGTATATTATGTGTATATATATATATATACAGTATGTATATATACATATACACATTTATACATATATATACACACACATACTGTATATATATATATGGCTGCTATCATCAGATGCACACTCTCGCTGCCTGGTGTAAGTGCTCTTAATCACTCAGTCTAACACTTACCTGGTCCCTTCAGCATCGTTTATTCCCCAAATCCCATGTTGGGTTGCGTCAGGAAGACCATCAGTTGTTAAGACTTTGACAGTCATTGTGGAGACTACTACTACTGTGACGACCCCTGTTGAAAAAAGGGACAAGATGGACAAGTGTTTAGTGGCTGGGAAGTCCTGGAGCCTTGAGATGTCTGGATAAACACCTGGTTTCAAATAATCAGTCACAGCAGCCGTGACATTAGTTCTGTTTACCTGATTGGTGGAGTTGACACAGGCAGCAGGTGGAGGAGATTTCTTCCATGTTGAAGACAAACAGTCAGGCGTGGGCCAGAGCACAGCTGGAGACTTGGAGGTAAACATGTGGAGCTCACTCAGGGGGTCTCAGTACGAGGTATGGCCAAGGCCTGGAAATGTAGGTTTACAGTGAGTACAAGTGTGGACTGTAGGACCTCCCACAGAGCCTGTCTGTGGGAGGTCCAACGTACAGGACGTGGTGTCGGCGAAAGAGTTTGAAGAGATAAACATGTGGAACGTTGAGGCTGGAGAAGGAAACGGTAGAAAGAGTAAGAGTGTATGAGGAGGTGTACTGGACGAGGAGACAAGAGGGGACAGGAGGCTGTGGGAATGATGTAATGTAAATGTGTTGGTGACAGATGGCAGTGGAGTGAACAAGGTCAGAGCTCTGAAAATGAGAGGTGGAAGTAATGGCTGTGTTCAAAGACGTAAAGCTGGAGACAGTTTTTATGATCTTTTCACAGAATAAAAGACACTTCTTGTTGTTGATTTCTTTTTAAACTCAGTTCTTATAAGTGGTTTGTCCTGTTGCCTTACAACAAGAAGGTCAGTGGTTTGAGTCTCGGTGGTAACTGATGGTCTTTCTGTATGTGAATGGTTATTGGTTGGTCTTCATACGTCAGTGATCATCAACTGGCAGCCCATGGGCTGCAGTGGGGGAAGTCAGAACATTTGTACTCTTTTCAGGTCAAGTATTCCATTATTAGTACTCTGTTCTGCTGTATCCTCCAGTACTTCAGATGCTGACTTCTTTACTGCAATCAGAAAGTGTTTCATCTCAAAAAGTGATATCAAAGCCCATGCTAACAGTGACTGGCTCTATATGAGTAGATGTTCAACAACAGTACTACAGTAGTACTAGGTCATAGTACTTGGAAGTGATGTTAATCTGTGGGGCATCAATAACAGAATCATGGAGACATGGCCACTCAAACAGACAGACCGTTACTATGAGTTAATTCAGGAAGCATGAAAGCACAACTGCAGTAGTTTGACTTCACTAGCCGAGAACAAACACACAGCCCTTTAGAGGTGCATCCAAAACAGCCAGGGTCAAAGGTCAAGGCCAACACTGACTAGTTTTATAAAGTGGTAAAGTATAAAGTGGTTTTTATACCCTAAAAAATTAAGATTTAAAATAAGAGCACATTTAAAGTTTTCACCTAAACCTCGAGGGAAACCTGGAAGATTATTTTAACAAAAAGGGAAACTTGATTTCTGTTCTCAGACTAGTCAAAGTAGGCCGTGACTTGTTCTTAAAGACATCCCAGAATTCCACAGAAAGGAATATTCGAATGTTTAGACTTCAAATTAAGATGTGTCAAAAAAACATTTTGTTCTCGTAGAAAGACCTTTTTAATTCGATGTAGTTTTTATTTTTATCAATTCTCACTGAGAAGATTCTGGGCATTAGAAAATGTCCTTTAGAGTGCACTGAAAAAAAACCTCCTTAGAAAATGTCCTTTAGAGTGCACTGAAATAAACCTCTGAAAAAATCCTAATCTCATCAACAGTCAAAGGCCAGTAATGAAGTCATTACTTGGTACCGTTCTCCTGCCACTACATGTTAGAATCAACTTGTGTTTAGTTGATGACTGTCTTTTATTTTGCCTTAACACCAGAAAACAGTGCTGGCTGAGGGCTGTTCCCACATCAATATTTTGGTTAAAGAACTGTATATTTGGAGGTTGAACCCACAGCCACAGTTCTACAGCTAACATCCACCACTCACAGGAGATCTATCCAAACCTCTGAACCTGTTCTAGAAAGAACCGTGCTGCTTTATAGTAGGTATAAACCGCTTTGTGTCTCGTTTTTAAAACAAACAAAAAAAAAACAAACAAAAAAAAAACAAACAAAAAGAAGGGCAGAGCCCAGACGTGTTTTCTCCTGCATTTCCTTTTCTTTGGTGAGGATTTGGTCCCCAGATTAGTTCTCTTACATACTGAGAGCCGGGAGCTCATCATCACACTCCAGCTGGAGTCGTAGCAGGGAGACAAACCAAAGTGTGGAATATACTGTATATTTGTTTTTTTGTTTTTGTTTTTTGTTTAAATCTTTCATCAAAAACTGCCTGGACTCAAACATATCTCCCTCAAATGCTTTTAAAGCCCCGATGTAAAGTTATTTAAAGTCATTTTATTTTGCCAAAGACACTGGTGAATGTCCCGTCTCCGTATTGTACGGCCCGTACACTCCCAGCTGCGTCCTCATCTTTTTCTATGCACCAGTGCTAACGTCACATGAGTGTTAGCGGCATAAGCTGGCCTTTGTCGCCACCAGGAGACAATGACTTTCTGCAGGATGTCCACGTGCGTGTCTGTTGTTGCAGGTCATGTACAGCACTGCTCTCACTCACAAATGTAACAGTGTTTGTATTTGCAGGAAAAATAAATGAATAAATATTCAGGCTCTGTTACATGATGTCGCTGTGTGTTTAATTCTCTTCCTGTTGTTGCTATCGTTTCTGTTTCGAGGTCAGGGTAAAAAAAGAATTTCCTTAAAAAAACTAAATCACATATTCATGATTTTGATGAATTTTAGATTTTATTTTAGTAGTTCATTACAATGTTCAATTAAATAAAAATAATTTTGTAGTTTTTATATTAACGAGCATTATAATATTATAAATAATATAGGAGATTAATATTGACACAGGTGGTTGGTTAGTGGTTAGTTTTCTTGCCTTTCAATAGAATCATCACTTGTTCAAATCCTGAGCAATAGTTAAAGATTTTCTGTTTAGAGCGAAAGCAAATTCTTTTCCTATTGTCTTCTTCTGTTATTGTGGTTCTATTTAAAAAATAAATAAATAAATAAATAAAACATTTTAAAGTATATTTTAGAAGGTGAAAGTTTCGATTTTGTAAAAGAACCAAGTAAAAATAGGGACTTTTTAACGATCTCTGGTAAATTAGGTTTACATGTCAACAAATACTGAACTCAGATTGGCGCTATTGCAGTAACAGGCAAACCGCCAGGGTGCAGCAGAGGTCTATCTGTTGACACCGTCACAGCACTTAAACTTGATAAACTAGGACTGCGTGAAAACACAGTTGCAGCAGAGGAAGGACACCTCATGGTCCCATCACTCTACAATAGGAAGACAGACTGCAGTGTCTTCAGCTCAGAGTGGACAGAATCTAGGAGGACACCAGTGTCTGTCAGGAGAAGTCTGGCATGAGGACATGCATATCTCCTTCAGGGACAAATGTCCCCACCTCTGTTAGAACAACCTTGCTGCTGATTTAAAAAAAACTAAAATTCTGAGTACCAGTGTTCTAAGAAATAGTAGGACTGTTCTGGAGGGCACTGCAAATATTCATTCAAATATTATGTCTCTGTTAAGTCTCTGTGAAAGGTATTAATTTTTGCACTTTCAGTGACAGATTGGTGTCAGGTTTCATTTCACAAAACATATTACAATATTTTACCCACAAAAACATCATCCAAATTCCATAGAGAAGGTACCTAGGTTAGAGCTGGGGACTCAAACCTATGACCTTCTCGCTGTAAAGCAAAAGCACTAATCACTCTACCATCAAACAGATGTGTTGGATCATATTTAAAAGAAGTTCAATTTGGCAGTAAAAATACAAAAAATATATTTTCCTCATCTCCTTCCAATTTTCTCGATGTCGTACAAACTTATTTTGGAAAAAGAAACTTGTCGTCAGTCAAAGGTTTAGTAATTCCTAAGGAATTCTCCGCAGAGCTCCTTGTCTCTTGAAAAAAAAAAGGGAACGTGATACTGTTCTTTGTCTTTGTCTGTCTCTACATCCAGTTCAAACCAGTTTCTGTTTATCAGTTTGACAGAAGCCAAAACATGGTTCATGTGACCTCTCCACATCCTCCATGGAGGAGGAGGAGGAGGAGGAGTGTCAATTCTAGCATATGTGCCAGTGCCAAAGAGTGCAGAGTGATTAATAAAGATTAATCGTGAATAATAATACTGCAACTAAGACAGAGTACTATAAGTTCTATGAGGCTGTTTTTAGGTCAGTGGAATCTCATCGAACTGTATTTAAAGAATACTCTTTACTGTACTGTATGTTAAACTGACTATGTACCTGTCTACTCTGTTAGTACCACATTCAAACACACACAAAACAAAACAAAAGTTCTGATCTTACCTTCTTTGTGATGTCACAGGCTGAGTGATTACAATACCTCCTCTCCCAGCAGTAGGGGGCTCCACCAGAGGTGGTTGGTGGATATGACAGCAGGACCACTGTCATCAACACCCTGAAGGTTAAGCATAGCTGCTCAGTTAGCACAGTGCTAAATGAACAGCAGCTGTAGCAGTGGGCTGTCATCTGCAACAACACAGAGGGAATTGGATGGGGGGAGGGGGGTTAGTCTACATGTCAACAGTGAAGTGATGTGGTCTTTGTTTGAAGTAACACAGTTAACTACTAACCACTGAGAGACTTCCTGCTTCAGCCTCCACTCTTCACTTTCTTCTGGAACTTCTTCTCCTGCCACTGAAAAAACATCAAGTTGGTCCACTGTTTGTTCACATTTTCTCTTTCACTGCTTAAACTGTTGCCATGGATACGTGAAGCCATGCTAATGTGGAAGAAGCAAAGCAAGTAGAAGATTATTACGATTCAAAAGTAAAGGCACAAAAACAGGTACTGTGAACAGCTGTAGTAGTAGACATTTGGGAACCATACTGTGTACTAAGTGTACTATACACTACAGTATTTGTCCTCTTTAAACACATGTACTTCTTATGTTGATTTTAACTGTTAACTTACAGAACAGAACAAAATGTGACAGAACAAACCCAGAAAGGCAAACATTACTTTAGCTTCAATTTTAGGTCAACAACAGAAGGTATATTCTGACAATGACATCATCAGAATTACCTCACTCTCTCTGGACTTAACTTTTTAATCCGCATTCAAGTTCCAGGAAACCTTTGAATAATAAAAAAGCCCTGAGGAGAAGAGACAATCAGGGAGGAGGTGGAGCGTCTTCAGAAGATTAATGTCAACTCACAACATAATCCTTCTTCATCCTTGTCTTGTGTTTTTTTCTCTTCAAACACGCAAATAAAAAGTCTACAGCTGCCGGTTATTTTATAAAATAAACCCTTTACTTAATAAAATGATGATCATGACAGCGAAGACATCATGACAACAATGCACAGGTATAGATAAACAGCAAAAACGTTTATGAAAAAACTAGTGCAAAACAATACAAATACAAAAATATATTGCACTTGGTACTTTAGGCAGAAGAAGTCATGTTTGTACAACATACTAAACTTTATATATCCATCTGTAAACATAGTATCTTTTAAGCTTTGTTATTTAGTTAGCACAAAGCTCCATTTAAACAAAAACAAAAAGTGTATACAGCCAGAAAAGCTTTAGTTCAGAAGCAGATGCCAACAAGGTACTTATGGTTCATGATCATCAGACATAGTTGGTCATAGTTGTGCTTTTCTTTGGGGCATGTCTGCATATTTACCTGGACTTTTTTTTTACAAACATCTTTACCTGGACTTTTTTTTTTACAAACATCCATTTCACACACACACACACATACACACAAACATTGTAGGTTTAATCTCAAAAGGGCAAATTCAGTCGTTTTTGGAATGTAGTTGTACAAGGCACTGGCCGTGCTCTGTGTCAGACATTTAAAAATGTTTAAGCCACTCCAACAAGAAAAGATTTACACAACTATTTCTCAGAAATATTCTTAGAAATGTGTGATCTACTGTACCTGCTGTTAGTCTTTTGTTTTTGCAGCTCTTGAACACACATCAAGACCCACAGCGAAACAGAGTGGTTTCTTAAACTAACATGTCATAGTTGAATAGTTGATCATCTTCTGCCTCCATCGCTAACAAACCAAAGGCAAACCTTTTTCTGTGGAGTTTGATGTGATGCAGAAATTACAGCTTTCAGCTGACATTAGCTTCTGTTTGTTTTGACCTTTTGTTTTTGAAGGAATTTGTAACATCTCTCTTTGGTGGTCACCATGGCCCAAGTACAGTACCAACCAGTACTTCATACAACAACCATTCCTGAAAATCCCCATCCAGTGCACTAGCTGGTCATCTTTTCTAACCAGTACTGCATTTAACGGCTGGAAACAGCTCTTCTTATGACATCCTGATCTACTGTGGGTTTCTTTTCCATTTTAACATTGAAAAAATAATCTATTAAAACCCAAAGTCTGTTTAGTGACTGTGACATCTCCATGAGATGAGAAAACAACTTTTGCTCTCTTTTAAATGTGCCCTTTAGATCAAAACGTCACACTCGTTCGGACAGATTTTACAGAAGAATAGAAATGCCTGTGGGAAATCTGAAGTAAATAGGTCCACTGACAGAAAGAGTCATGGTTTGTGCAAAGTTCTTAGTACAGTCTGATCCTTCCTCCTGCAGCGATGTCAGACAGAGCTGCTTGTTGTTGCCCCTGTCACAGAAGGAAGACAGAAGGTCCAGCATGACTCAATCTTCCTGGTCTATTTGTCAGTGGTCACCTGATACTAGTCTGCTTATAATCCCTCATTAGTGAGGGTCTGGGCACATCTCTCCTGATATATAATCCGGCAAAAAGGCGGCTCTGTGTCCTGTAAGATCAGGGTAACAGCATGGGTTTGTGCAGAAGTGTTTCGTAGCTCAGCGGGACGGAAACGTGTCAGGTCTGCTGACATTCGTGGCCTCCACGACGTCAGCACAGGGGTCGACCTGGGACACAGACGAAAGAGGAGTGGGTTACAAGCTGCTGCGGAACAGGTAATGAGATTATAATTAAAAAATAGAGAACCAACATTCTTCAAATAGAGGATCTAAATGGTGGACATACAAGTCTTCAAGTCGCACAATCAATTTCTGGTTTTGTCTTTAGTTTCAGATTTGTGATTTGACCAGAGGAATCACAGCACAAGATCAGCATGTTTTAATGAAAAGGAGTTTGTCTTTGAATTCCCACAATAACAGCACTCCACTAACATTTCAACTGGTGCCATGTTGGTAGACCTCCCATGTTGGATGAAGCAGTATGAGGAGCAAAAGGAAGTGGAATAAACATAGCCTTAAATAGTCATTGGGATAAAGCAGTAAATTTCTTTTTTGTCCAAGTATTCTTGGTGGGATATTTTTGTAAAATCATTTAATTTTATATAAATTATTTAAATGATTCTGTGTACATTATATATGTATATTCTGCATATTTATAATATTGTGAGATTTAAAGATTAGTTTAGAGAATTACAACTACATTCTAGGTGTCTAGAGAACAGCTTATATCTATGTGAAGTTTGCACAAAAAAGTGTAATTTCATATGTGGGTTGTCGCTGTGTGTACCTCAGAGTAGACAGGTGGTGGCAAATATCTGAACTCAGTGATGTAGGTCAGCAGGGCACTGTAGTCCTCCTCCTCCTGCTCTGACCTATTACAACCCCGCAGACAGTCCCGTCTGTGCGACTCTGATATCCTCAGATCGCTGTAACTTGGAGGAGCTGCAGAAGACAAACATTTTAAGTAATCATTTTCATTCTTGATGCCTAAAGTTAAAAATAGAGACAATGACATCATGCATGTCATCAGCATGTCTGCTGTCACTTACCCTCAGGTGTCTCTGACAGGCCCAGCCAAGTCATGGTGCTGCAGTTGCTGCTGATGCTGGAAGTGCGGCTGGTGCCGGCATGCAGAGGTATGGTTCCAATCACCAAAGGCAAAGAGAGGGACAAGTTTAACCCCCCAGGAATGTCCACATACACCTGCAAGCAGGGGCAAGGGGTTTGGAGTGAAAACAAAGGAAGGGGAAGACGATCTGATGAAAGCCTGTTCCACCAGTTCCTATCAGGCAGAGTAGGGCAGGGTTTTGTAACCAGAGAGATCAGGTGAGGATGTGTTCAACTTTTAAAGCCACAGATGGTTAAAAGATCCTCCCTTTAGAGATGACAGTGTGTCAAAATGAATTTTAAAATCCACTAAAACATTCAATGTAATCATGTTTCTCACTCCATCATCACTGCGTTTAATTTTAGGTTGTATTTTTACTAGGAATGTTTTTTTTAATTCCTTGAGTTGAAACTTACTGATATTTTTCATTATTTGACTATAGAATGTAGCTTTGTGATTTAACAGCAACCTGTTTGAAGAACTCGCTCCACCAGATGTCTTGTACATCTAATGAAGCCAACTGCCGTGTCTCATTATAGTAACCACATCAGCACTTAATTCCTTAAAGTCACAGTCAAACAAGAACTTCTCCGTGTTGTCTTGTCAAAACACAACTTCTGTAGAGAAGGTAAAATCACACAGCAAGCAAGTCTAGATACTGCTGTTTCCTGGGGAAGACACTGAACCCCAAACCTCCTACTTTGCAGTGTTTAAATGAAATTATAGTAGTGTAAAAAGCAATGGCAAAGTTAGTGGCTCTGGCAGTGCAAGCTATGTGAAGTGTATTATTACTTTTATTTTCTTTATTTATCTTCTACTGTGTCCTTTACAGTCACAGGGTGAGGGCAGAGTACACCCTGGACAGAGCGTCACACACAGCACATCACAGTCCTACTATAGTCAGTTTAGAGCAGGCATGCCCAAACTCAAAGGGCCGTGTGGCTGCAGGTTTCTGTTCCAACCAACCAAGAGCACATAGTTGGACCAATCAGCTGTCTGAAGACTGAGACCAGTTGATTAAACCTGTCAACTCAGGTGTGCTACTGCTTGGTTGGACCAAAAACCTGCAGCCACAGCGGCCCTTTGTGGAACAGTTTGGGCACCTCTGGTTTAGAGGGTCGTGTATTCTGATTTCACAAACTCTGAGTGGGAATATACCTGGTTTATATTTATATTTTATATTTATAAATATTATATTCAGAGTATCAGATGTGTGTATAGAGCAGGCAGTATGGATCTGTGTACTGTAGAAGGATCAAGCTTTATATTTCCTAATAAAGGAGCACCTGATTTTTAACAGGAGTTAAGTTTCTCAGTTTATTAATTCCTTTAACTCTGCTGCTTGCCACCATATATACCAATATAAATATATATAATTAGAAACAAAACTTTAAGTACATTGAAAAAACATCAATTAAACTTAGCTGGTGGAGTGCAGCCTATACACGGTGTGGCTTCAATTCCATGAAGTACCATAAATTCCAACATCCTGTCAAAACAGATCTCTAGGACCAGATCTCTAGGAAAGCCAGACCAGGAAGATATACCTGTTGAATGACTTTACCAACATAAGCACCTTCGATTGTAAAGTTGTTTTCGACAGAAAATACCTCCGCTAGTAACTGCCTCTGGTTAAGTGTCAGGTTAACCAAACTTCAAGAGTTGAAGCGTCGTGCTAATGACATTGCCCCTTTAATGACCTTCCTTAGCAGTAAAGGCTTCTTCTTGTTATTCTTTGGTTGTGTCTCAGCTGACTCTTTGAAATAACCAAAGCTCACCCTTGGCTCTTTTTTGATCCACGGTGAACGCGCTGTTGTTCTCTCATCTGCGTCCTCTAATTCTGTGTAGCCCACACCATGTTTGAAGCTGTTAATGACCTTCCTTATCAATAAAGGCTCTTTGAAATAACTCACTGTGGTTCTTGGAGACTGACATTTCATCTCATCAGCCTTACAATATGCCTGCCTCTCAGATTCTAGTAGTTCCTTTAAGTCCTTGTATTCTTTTTCAAGTTTTCTCAGCTGCTCCTCTGAATGCTGCAGCCTCTTCTGGATCTGGTTGCACTTGGACTTCAGCTGATTGTGATTGTAAACCTCTCGATCAAGGACCAGGGTAACGTCACTCAAGTTTTGCTCCAGACACCTTCTTTCCTTGATTTCGGCATCTGGCATGGTCTGAACGCTGACCTCCCAGGTTTTGAAGCCTCCTCTGTTATCCAGGAATTCTGCTATTTGCTTGTCCCAATTCAAGTCTATTATTCTTGTCTTACCCTTGACCTCGTCCTCTTCAAGAGTATCAGACCGTTCCAATTTTGTTGCAGCTGGTACCCATGCTGCTTTAATACTACTTTCTATTTCTAATTCCTTTGCTTCTTCTTCTCGTTCTATAGAAGTCACCTCACCCATATTGTTAATCTCATCCATGTCAGGATCACCTTGTATTATTGTTTCCTCCTCTTCTTCATCTTCTATCTCATTTACACAATTTCCTTTTCCTGTGTCCATTTTTATGTCACTTTGTTCTTGGTGGTTTCTTTCAGTTGATGTGCATAATGTACTATTACTTTCACCCACAATTATCCTACCTCCTCCTAGAACCAGGTTAGTTATTACATTGAAGCCGTTCATTCCCCCCATGTCTGGTTGTCCACTCCCTTGTTCCTGGTGATTTACAGCAGCTGGAAGCTCTACTGTTGCATTACAAGCCTCATCTTCTCCTTCCATGCTGTGCCCCTCATTTGTGTTAGTTGTGTCATTACTGTGTAGCTGTTGGTTTGTTTGTTCTTGATAGCCAGTAGCAATAGGTATTTCCAATGTTAGTTCATTGCCATCTATGTTTTCCTCTTCTTCTTCCATGTCACTGATGTCACCCATGCTGTCGCTGCTCTGTTTGGTACTCATGTGTTTCAAGGTAGTACATTAACTAATGACATCATGTGGAACCATTCTGCACACTCTAGAGTCCTATCATCTTTACAGCCATTCAATAATCAAAGTCAGTGTTTGTAATGATGACATCAGTGTTTGGATAATTACATGATTTTTACGTGTGTATACTGAGATATTTACACACTGTACATGGAGGTACAAAAACCTGATCAATTATTGTAATTTGGGTAAGTATTTTGTATGAAGAGTATAGCACCTTATCCAAAGATCTGTGATTGTAAATGATCATTTGTATGATGATCACCAACCAGAATACAGTTTGCTATTCCAGTTGAACAGTAAATTCCGACCATCCAACAACTTATAAAGATAATTAGAATTTGTCCATACATATAAACCTACCTCTTCTTGGAGTATAAATGATTATTATATTAACATCCAACTGAGAAGAAATCTGTTCCACTCACCACCAGAGCATATTCCACTTTAATGATGGGACAGTCCAAAATGGAAGGGGACACTGGTGGAATTTTGAGCAGTTTCCCTTCCCAGTCCCCTCGAAGATTGGACACAAGTTGCTGAATCTGTTTGCCCTTGCCTTTGGCAAAGAATGTCTGGTTTTGGTATAAGGCCGCTTTAGGGACCACAACCCGGGATGAGCAGTTCTCTACGTCAGCAAATATTTGGATGCATTCACCTTGGGGAGAAGACAAAGGATCAGTCTGTCAGACTGAGGGAGAGGTTCACATGAGTGACGTTGCTATATGATAAAGGGAAACACTAGAGGAGGGCTTGAAGTTGGGTTTCACTCACCTGGAGTGTAGCCCTTTCGCTCAATCTTGGCACTGAGGGAGATTGGACCTGAAGCACAGAACCAGCAACAAAGGGTCTTCTCCTTTGTCCCAGCCTGTGGGGCCTGTAAGGAGACAACCATCACTTGAATCACTGAATACATGCAACCAACCCATCCCTTTGTATTGACTAATGTACACTTGTTTTAGGTGACTGAAAAGATTGCTGGTTAAGACTTTAAGACATTTCTGTATTTTATTGTATTCCTAGCGTTGTATCTTATCAAGTGATTTTATGTAGGTTGGTTGTGGAGGACTTGAGGTGATAGGAGATAACCATGGCACGTATCAGGTACAGACAGCAGCAGCGCGTTACTGTGTACATGTGTGGGAATCGGTCAAATTCATTTCACTTAATGGAAACTTTGACGACAAAAATGTACAGATACAATGTCACTTTAACCAATCAGTGTTGTCTTCTAGACTGAGCTTGTAGAGTAAGTGATTACACACAACAATTGTGTCCTGCCCTGGATGGTTTTTAACACCAGCATTTTGACACAAGAGTACAACAATGGTTATACTAATTACTGCTACTCTTTTCTGTTTCAGCTAATACACAGACTTCTAGTGCAACACATACTTAATGCAGTTTTGCATCAGAAAAACAAAAGATAAATAGTTTCTGGAGTTGCATCATTTTGGAGCCAACACCTGCATACACTTTTGCACACCTACCAGCAGCAGTGGTGTGTTGATGTCAATGTGTTCAAACACAATGAACTCTTTCTTGACTCTGACAGGGAGCAGCCATGGACGGTGGAGTTCTGCCTTTACCCAGTACCTTACATTGCCATGCTTCCCCTCAAAGGATGTGGCTAAGGCCCTAAAATATATATAAATTAAAAAAAAGACTGTTAATAAGCAACAGTGTTCTGGGGTCTTTTGTGGGTTATTCAAATACTGTACAATTATTGTTTGTACAATGACATGGTTGAGTGTAAAATGTACACTATAATGCAATAATTTCATCCCTTACTCTAAACATTTAACATTGGTTCCAAAAGATTGTATTATACTCTTTTATCCCTTTTCTTCAACAACAAGGAAGTAAGTTCAAAAATCCATACTGCAACAAGTAAACATAAAATATGGACTAAGTAAATATGACTAAGTCTCAGACAGAAGAATGACACATAACTAAATTGGTCTTTGTTTTATAGACAACCAGTTTTAGACACAGTAACTCATTAGGTTACAGTAGCAGGACTGTCCATCAGGATTAGTGACGCATGGAGCAAGTCAATTTGCCAACTTCCTCTATGATAGTTGTGAAAATATGTCACTGTTGTGTTCTTAGTTCAATGTAAAATTTAACAGGGCAGAGGGCATACTAGTAAACTAAACATCTACCATTGACACTTGTGAATATGTGTTGTCTTATCATCGAACTTAAAATCTACAACAGGTCATTTTATAGTATTAGTTTGTTTCTGAATTGGCTCAAAGGTATTACCAGGTATGTTGGAGGTGATTTGTGTGAATTCTTTTGAGGACAACAACAATGACTGAAAATGTAAGGTTCAGAACACACTATATACTTAACAACCTTAGTGGCAACTCACATCTGAGGCAGATTAAAGCTAAAAGCAAACTCATGTAGTCCAGCATGCAGAACCGTCAGACCTTCTTCTGGACAGTCTTCATCTGAAAGAAAAGAACATTTCAGAAAGATTAAGTAAGAACCTGAATGGTGCATGCTCTGTTTAAAATGAAAATTTTATAGAAACAAGTAGATAAATATACTGTGGCTAGCACAGAAGACAATTGTTTTTGTCAACTTCAATATTTAAAAAAATGCCCTCAGTTTAAAAGGACTTGGAACACTTCATTTAAAAAAAACTTGGGTATGTTTTGAAAATACAATGTACTATCTGTGGTCTTTACCAGACAGAGAAGGAGGTGTAAGAGAGAAAACGACCTCTCTTTATCATCCCGTTCGGTTTTTGTTTATACTTTTACGTCGTCTCAATGTCTTCACATCAGCTTCCTGCCACCTCAGCAACTCGCTTCAGTTTCTCCACACTGCGAGTGTGTGTGTGCGTGTCTTTTCGTTTATTCAGTCATAGGGGCTGTCACAAGCAGCCTGTGTGCTCGTGTGAGTCTGTGTGTAAGTGTTTGTGCGCGTGGGAGTGCACAAGCAAGTCGCCGGCAACACAATGTAGAGCAGGAGTAGACCGGTATGAACCAGACTGAGCAGCTCGGCTAAGCGGGAAACTCCCACCAAGAGTATTATCATCACTGGTCTGCCATTGGAGGAAACTCTGACATGAAATGAAGAACGTGTTCTGATTGGTCTATGCTTACAAGACCCTCCCACAGCGTTTCAATGTGTGTGTATGTGGTGGTGTTCTCAGCGATCCCTAGGTACAGCTCTCACTTTACCGATTCAACAAAATAAACGGATAAAAAGACGGAGAATATATAGTGCCTATTAGGTATCAGTTCAAAACTTATAAGCAGAATAAAAGTTAATGTTTTTAACCTTTATTTTATTTTACAAAATGTTTGATAGAGTAGATAACATGGTCTTATTCCAACACTTTTCATATTCAGTTAATCCGACAATGATATTATAATATGTAATAAAATAGAAGGGATTTTGTTTAATAAGTCATATTGTATATATAGGAGATAAATATTCATGGTAACGTATTTACTTTCACAATTATAGTGTACTTCATTTATATGGTTTAATAATGTGTATTTATTATTATAAATATACTTCATATCCACATATGTTGAAAAATGCTTGAATATGAAAAACATTTTACCTGTACACAAGATGTTGTTACCGATAAAACAACTCAACTAAATGTAAAAACAGATTAAATAAAGTAAAATAATAGTAATTGTGTCACCTGCTACCCCTCTTGGTCAAAAATACTGTGACATTGTATAAAATGCAGACGGATTTGTAAATGATTAATTTATAAAGAACTGCAGGCCTAAGGGGCTGTATGATCAGGTATTACTCGTGAACATTTTGTAAACCGCAGATGAGTCTATAAATTACATCTATAAATTTCCTATATGCATGTCTATAGATATGCATATCATTATATAGTAATACGCTTTTGAAGGCCTCTGGCACCTTACTTTTTCATGCACCTTTATATTTTGCAATATTGAACTTGACTTAATTTTACTCTGTTGTCAAGTTTATCTCCAAACTGTTCAAAGTTAGTTGTCTTAGTGATCAATTTTGACACCTATTACTAACTTGAGATAAAAAAGGGGTATCACTAACTCCCCTAACTAAAAATTAGACCAATTAACCTACTGACTTCAAATATGTGATTTTAGAATAATAATGTCTAATAACTCACATTTTACATGATCTATGAATTTGACTTGTCAGTATTAATTTTTCAGTCGTGTGTGCAGGTGGTTGTTTCATTAAGCGGTATACTTGAAGCAACCGTGCAACATTCACCCTAATTGGCCTCTTTATTTGACCCCACGTATCAATGTGTGCCTGAAAACAAAGCTGTGTAATATGTCCTGACTGTGATTATTTGTGTAATTTATTGGTTTGTAAATTAAACAAATAATTGCTACTTCTTTGGGGTGTACGTCTTTCATCTTTCGTCAATAATTGCTACTTCTTTGGGGTGTACGCCTTTCTTCAAATGAGAGTCTTAGAGTTTGTGACACACAAAAGCAATTAGTTGACAGTCAATGACACAGAAGCATTTCTGATGTTTATGTATACAGTATGTTTATATATACGTATGCTTGTGTGTGTTTCATACCACACTGTTTTGCCTATTAAGTACAAATCCACACATGTACCAAACTAATTCAAAGTTTACGTGTGTAATCTTAGATTTTCCCTGTGTAGTGGCTGACCATGGTAATGCATCACTGTTCCCTAAACCTGAGCTGAAATCACCCCCTATGTCCATGGCTGTCAACTGGAATGCGCACATCAGTGTTACCTGTGTGACATAAACTGGTGAAATGAGAGATTTCCTGGATTATTTTCCACAATTTTATATATGTATATATATGTATGTATATATATTAATATATATATTCACTGTATATACATGTGTATACATTGTAGGAGCCATGGTATTACTGGGTTGTTGTTGTTGTGTACTTGAAAATACAGAGAATAGTAAGAGGAGGCTTTGCAGGCAGCCGAGACATTACAGAAACACTGTGTGCATGTGTGTCTGTTGGGTCCTCCTCCCTCCCTCCCTTACTCACTCTGGCAGTTTCTGAACAGGTTTGAACCGCTTCTAACAAAGGGAGTTGCCTGACCGTTTGCCCTAACTTCAGGGTACCATTTACGCCAAACTGACAACATTTTTGCGTCAATGTAGCACAAACACCAGAAGACAAAGACAGACTGTCCGCTGTTTGTGTTTTTTTTTTGCATTCTGTTCTTTAGCCTTCGGCTTCACTGTCCTCGTTGTACGCGCGGTGCTTGAAACCCGTGTTCTGTCTTTTGAGAGGATAAAATACAGAGCTTCTGTAGCCACGGGCTCGTTTTGAGTGTAAATGAAAAGTGGTCGTTTAGCTGTTTGTCTTTTTTTGTCTCCGTATGTCGTCTTTCTGAATTTCTTTGCGTGAGTATATGGCGATATCTTTCTCTCCATCATCAGCTGTTGCATCAGCACCGGCGGCACTGATGCGCTAAGCAGTTGCGCTAGACTGGCTTCGCCTTCAAAATTTTACATCACACACACACACACACACACAAGTCCAAGTTCGCCTGTTCTGCTGTGACCCACATCCCGTCTTCATTTTGGTGTATGTTGTCTCTCAACTTACCCCTCTCCTCTCCTATCAGCGTGTCATAGTGGTGCAAGTATTCCACCTCCTCGGTGTAGTTCTGGGCATAAGACGTGTTGGCTCCTGCGTTCCTCGACTCTGTCCACCGAACCTTGGCGATTCCTTTGGCGACCAGGTCCAGACTCTTGACCCGCAGATCCCCGGTCACATCCACTATAACCCGTCCTGACACCAGTTCTCCGCCGGAGAACACGGGAAGGTTGTTCTCATTCATGGTGTCAAAGTTGATGGCCAGAGCCCTCACTTTGCCCAGCACCATCTTGGTTGAAATGAAGCAGAAAGAATTCTGTTACTAATGTAAAAACAAAGTTGTTAAAGTAAGTGTAGAGTCGTGAGGCGCAGGTTAAAGCGCCTAGCCCTGGATGCCCAGCACAGAGCCGGCACCGCGTCTGTGACGCTGTAGGTTCATCTGCCTGAGACTCACAGCTGATCGTCTGCTCTCTCCCTCTCTCTCCTCTCCCTCTCTCTCTCTCCTCCTCTCTCTGTACCATACGCACACTCACCCTCCAATGCGCCTCCTCTTGTCTCTCTGCTGCAGTCTGCCTTAAAGTACTGCACTCTTAAGTCCGAGGCACAAAAATAACCCAACAGAGCATGTGCTCTCATACACACACACACAAACGCAAACACACACACACACAAACGCAAACACACTAGACCGGTCATTTAACAAAAAATAAATTAAATAAATAAAAAAATACGTTTTGCATTGACTCCCATTCGTTTGGATAGTTAGTAACCAGTAACCTCTCATTAATCCTAACCATTACCAGTGAATGCCTACACCCCATAACCTAACCCAAAGGAAATAAACATCCTAAATCAACATCATATACATCACATTCAAAGTTCGGAAATACAAGCACAAAATCTGTTTTTATTGCAGCTTTTCGAAGTGTTTTTATCGATGTCATGCTATATGTAGCTACTACTTACCCAAACTAAAACATATTATGATTATTTTTATTACTATTATTATTATTATTATTATTATTCGTAAGTGCATCGAGGTAACGTCTACTCCTTAACATAGTGTTTCAATGCACATTTGTGGATATGACTACAACTGGGGCTAAAAGATCATATAAAAGGATGGTTCTCAAAGGAGATGGAAGGTACCGATTGTGCATTGCACAAGGACCATTTTGGGTCTCACTGAATATGTTCATGTAAGAACCTAACTTATTTCGAAGAGGTAACTGTTGTTCATTAGAGATGTAACGATACACTAAACTCACGATACGATGTGATTTGCGATTTTATTATCTTTTTTTTTGTTCACGAGATGATTTTATTTATAATTTTTCTATATACAGAGTGAGCTCCAGACAAATTAAATACAATGTTCCTAAGAATTATACAAAATACCATTACCAACTGAAATGGTCTTGTGTACTTCATAAACTGAAGTTGTTATCGTACATATCAGAATACAAAAAAAATGTTCATTTCTTTACAGAAACTCTGCACATTAGTTACTGAATTAGTTAATTACTGAAAATAAAACTGCTCTGATCCTATTTACCTTGTTCATTGTCAATATTTTAAAGAACAAAGAATATTAAAAAAATATATATAAACTTTACAGAAATACTGTAAAACACTGAGTCTTGGCTTTGTCCAAAAAGAAAGGGACTTTTACTGAGTTGCTCTAATATTTAACATGTAACATGGATTAAAAAAACTAAGACTTACGCCTGACACGCAATCTTGTCTCCTTCACCTTAACAAAGAGACTTTAACTGTGAGAGCTTAGTACATATTATCGCTCACTAAAACATCTATCAGCAAAGTTTTAACTCTGTGGCTGAGCTTTACCTTTAAAATAAACTGCTGACTCCATGGAGGAAACCTCTGAAGAAATCTCTGAAGGCACAAGCTATCGCACTTCTCCTGGTGTGTGAAAAGACAACAAGGTCATTCAGTGCAAAAACAGAGGCCTTCCACTGTGTATCTCAGACAAGCATAGTAAAATTTTTAAAACTTTTCTGTCAACAGTAGGGAGAGTGTCACCACTTGAACAACAGCTGACAGCTAAAAATAAAGTATTAAAAAAAAGCATACACCTGGTACCTGTCGTTGATCATTGATTTCACCAGTTACACCATCATGTATAGTTTATTTTTTAGTTATTTTAATTTATTGATTTTATTTATTTTATCCGTGAGCTGTGTTGACTGGCTGGACTCCTGTCTGTCAACTAAGTCCTGTTTAAAATGTCACCACAACCCATATCTATCATAGATATCAATCATATCTGTCTGTTTCCGTGTTTTCCTGTGTTCTTTGTGGGGTAATCATGGATCACACTCACCTGTTGTTAATTAGCTTCACTTGTGTCACCTGGTGTTCCCTGTGTATATATTCCCTGCTCCCTCGCTCTGGCTGGGTTGGATCATTGTGACTGTGTTAGATCTTCGTGTTCGTGAGTTTCCTACTCTGTGTTTCCTCGTGTTCCGTGTTTTCCTCGTGTTCCTCGAGAATTCCATGCCTGTTAGTTCTTCGTGTTTTGTTAATTTGGACTTTGTTAATAAACTTCCTGCACCAGAAAGAGTCTTTCCAGTACTGCATTTGGGTCCTGCCTGCTCCCTGCGATGCTAACACATGACACTACCACGTTTAAACACACACCTGGGAAGTCAAAACACCCCCCACCCCCCAACAGTTATAAAAGTGCAAATCACTAAAGGAGTCTTCAGAAGCTATTCTTGAATTTGCATACCAACAATTGTCGTAAGAAGTTTTTCTGTATGAGATTTTTTGGCATTTGTTATTAAACGAATCGACCATCTACGGGCTGTTTTTATTCCTTTCCTGGGACTACCTACGAAGGGATTTCTTCAATTTTGGTGCTGTGACTGCGGGGAGAAGAAATCCTTCAATTAGTGACGTGCTCACAAAGGAAGAAGAGCCAAATCGTTCAACTGGGCCGTGACCCGAAATGAAAATAGCAATAATCTTTCACAACAAACACATGGCCCGTAACCATCAGTCTACAACATTTAGTTATAATAAGCCCTTTTCTAGAGCAGTGTCTTAAAAGTGACCTAGTTATTACTGCTGACTAAACAGCACTACATGTTTACAGATCCATTTACTGTTTAAGTAATGACGAATGATGAAGTACATCTTTCCAGCTCTGTCAGTTCTAGAGTCTGATTCAGGGAAATTCTTAAAAGATGTTGGTATTGTATTTATGTATGTATTTAGGTTAATTACACATCAATCTCACAAGGACGACAAATATCGTAATGTGAACAATGTTTTCTATCCAGTGTGTCCGTGTGCACGTTTTTAATCTTTTGATGTATGACTATACAGATTTTATAGTCAATTCTTCTGTGTGTATCTATTATAATGACGACCTATTTGGATATACTGATAATTTAGCATGTAATGTTTTCAGTAACGCTTTTTTTGTTGGTTTTTTGCTAATACAACAAAGTATTGGCACTGGCAACCAGACTAAAAAGTAGAAGCCCCGGGCAAATAATCTGGAAATACCTGATGTTTCACCAAATAATGTAAAGAATTAGATCAAATTTAAGATGAAATTTTTTTCTTTCTGTTTGTTTTCTAGATGTAGATCATCAAGTCTTTGACATTAACAGAACTTCACCTGTTTTGAACATTTAGGCACAAAAGTGGATCAAGGATTGTACATTAGGTTTAAACATTATCTCATAGGCTGTCTTGTGGAGAAAGTTACTTCCTGGAGCCATTTTTTTGAATCTGTACGTTTCTTGGACTGCTGGAGGACACTGAGGACATTGTTGCTCAAGCAGACACTAATCATGTTAGCTTGGCTTTAAATGAATAAAAGGTGCTCACATTAATTTTGTTCCTGAAACACTTTTCTTTCTTTTTTTTACCAACTCTAATGTCTGGGCGTGGTCACTTCCTCTGTTTTGCTCTAACAACTATCTTCTCTCAAAACCATCCTTCATTAAAACTGTCCCAGTCTATGGTTTATTGATCAGTGAACTTCTAAAAGTATTCACTAGATTATTTCCATACAAAATGTGTTTATTGATATGTTACATATTTTGCAAATCCATATTTACACAAGCATATTGCCTTATCCATTCTGGTTTTTGGACCAGTCCTTTAGGCAAAATTCCACTTTTGCAAAGTTTGTTCTGCATTGTTCTGTCCCATGCATCCAAAACATTTCGGGGGCTTTTCCTCTCCTCCAACAATTTTCCAAGACCATCACTGTGGAATATTCTCTGGAGTCACATTTCCCCCCTGCCTCAACCTGAAGTGCATACACTCATATTGCTTTTTTAAAGTCTATACTTGATCAAGGTTGCGTATATAAAGCACGCTTCAATAACTCAGTATCGTTCCTTCAGTAGCTCAGACAATGTAAGGTAATATTGCATTTAAATCTTAGATCAAAAGATTTTTCCAGAATAAAAGGGTTATCTGACTGTACAGCAAGATTAATTAACCTTATTTTTTCCAACAAAAAACCATGGCATACAGTGAAATTTATGAACAATGCTGAGAATAAAGTAGGGCCTAATACTGAACCTTGTGATGCGCCATTTTCACACTGAACCGAGATATGAAACACTGCCAAAGAAAAGCTTCCAACATAAATTATCAAGGTGAACAGGGTTATCTTCAATCTCCAAATAATATCTGGTAAAAACCACTGTTAATACCCAGAACCATAGCTCTCGTGACCAAATAGTGAGTGAGTAACTGATTTAATGTGCACAGTCAACCTTTTGCTCTTCAAATGCAATAATTGTATTTTTATCATGGTTTTCCCAGCAAACCATGGACAGATTCAAGGCAGGGTGACAACGGAGGAAATTGCAGCAGTCGCACAATTCAAAAGATGCATGGAAATTGAGAACTTCACTCAAGCAAACACCTTTCGAAATCTTGATGAATCCTGATCCTTATTCAAAAAGGGCAAAATTGGCCTGCAGCTGTGGGAGGGAATCATACAAGAGGGTAGAAAACAGTACCACGGTGCAGCCTTACTATTTAAAGGACCAGGACGATAGCAGCAGCTGCACCGAGTGTGACTGGAATTAAACCAACCATAACCATGAAGAACTTCTTGACCCACTTAGGTATGACACAGCTTTGCTTTTGTTCCAGCACCGTACAGGTTTGAACATACACACTCCTAGCAATGTATTCTTCCACGCTCATGTCGGCCAGCAGCAGCATGCTCTTTGTCATTGGTTTGCCAAATGTAGTCCTTAGCTGTCTGACCACACCTCGAGCCACCGGCTTGTACATTCTTATTCGTGGACCACATCCCTCTGGAAGAATGAATATTGCTTGCGTCACATTCACTAGACGTGTAATGTGTTTTGCAGCAATTACGGCAGGTAAGAACCTGAGTGCACCGGTCGTCAAAAACACATGATGGATTGTCATCACCAGGTACAGACGGATATACCTCCTACGCAGCTCCGCGCTATAGTCATCAGCATTTGGGTCATCGTTGTCCCAGTCACCAGCAAGGTCACTAACTGTACTTAACGTGTCCTCCTCCTCCTCTTCCTTCTCCTCAAGTGACGCCATGTCAAACATGGTGGATGTACATTCCGTGCCCCCCTCGTCAATAGAGGCTTCTCTTTTCCCCTCAACGGCTGAACTTTCCACGTCTGTGTCGACGGCAGGGCATTCCACGTCCCCGGAGCTGGTCGCGTCACTCGGTCTTGGGCTTTCCGTTCCCTCTGTGTCAACATGGTCCAATTCCAGGTTAGTTGTGTCCGTTTCATCTGCCGGTCTTTTTGTATCCTCTTGACCAGCTGGTTGGTCTCTGTCTCCTGGGCCAGCAGGGATTCCTGAGTCGTTCTCACTGCCCTGCCTTTGCTTGTAACCCCTGCCCGACATTGCCCCCATGTCCTCATTAATAGCCAGGTTTTCCATTTCCCCCGAGCCAGCAGGGGTTTCCATATCCTGTCCACTCCCAGGGTCACCACTGGGGTTCCCTGCATCTTCCTCGCCATCCAGGTTTTCTGCATCCTTCTTGTTTGCTGTACTTCTCTTGTATCCCTCGCCGGGTGGCTTTTCCATGTCCCACTCAGCAGCTGGGACACCACTGTCCCGTATTCGCTCTATGTAGAGCTGTACTATTCAGTGATCTATGTCCTTTGTTTGTGACAGGCTTTTTTTGGATTGTATCATCCATTACTCCTCCTCCTTTCTTTTCATGTGATTGGTAATGGTATTTTGTGGCACTTGGCATCCGTAATGTTGCAATGATAAACGAATAGCCTTTCATCTTTCAATCACACTACGTGCCAATATATTGGAAAATGCCTTCCAAAATAGAACTTAGTCACAAACTCTAGCGAAGACTGTGTATGTCAGAGGTGACACATACAGCATCAAAGGCTCAGCCTTTGAAGGGGCATATGTGACCTCACACTCATATGTAGCCTCACACACATCTACCATGAAGCGAACCAACACTCAATTATAGGAAGAGGAAGAGAGGAACAGAAGAGGCATCAGCTTTGTTCAGTTTCTTTTTTTTTTTTTAAACACTACCATGGTACCACAGTCTAAACAGCGTCGTCATGGAATAACCTGCCTTATATCCTTCCTTAAATGCTACAGCCTTGTGTTCTGGCTCACAGGCGTTGTTCTGCTGGGCGTCGGCATATGGGCCAAATTTAGCGCAGGGTTTCCTGATTTCCTGCAGCAATACATCAACCAATACCCCTTATCTGCCGATATCACAAAAGATGGACCGTATTTGCTCATCGGAATTGGTATCACCATCATTATTCTTGGTCTGTTTGGGTGCTTGGCAACATGCCACAGAAAGCCGTCGATGCTCAAGGTGTACGCCTTCTTCTCAGTCATAGTGTTCTTTGGGGAGGTCGCCGCAGGCATATCGGGCTTTCTCAACAAAGACAAGCTCGCGAACACGGTCGTTGTTGCCTATCGAACCGCCTTTTGGTCCTATAACATCAGCGATAGCAACAAGGCTATAGTTGACTACACCCAAAAGAATTTGAAGTGCTGTGGGGTGACGAACTACACTGACTGGGGTAGGACAGCTTACTTTACAGACCATGGTCTACCTCACAGCTGCTGTAAAGTCCGGGCTCTCTGTATCCGTGAGAATCTAAAAAACCTCACTGCAGTTCAGGACAAGGTGCACAACTATGGTTGTGTTGGCAAAGTCACCAAAGCATTCAACTCTAACGCCATCATGTTTGGAACAATTGCCTTCACTATCGCTTCTTTTCAACTACTTGGAATATTTCTGACTTGGTGTTTTGCGCAACACATCATCAAAAGCCAATATAAAATGTTTTAACACTTCATTCAGTTCATTTCCATTTCTGTGTGATTTGATGAAATGCCTTGTTATTGTCTCACTATGTTAAAAAATTAGAAACAGCTTCAAAATTTAGATTTTTTTTTATTTTAAATTGTAACATCTTCCTCCTTTGCTTCAAACATTCCTTCTGCTCCTTCTTCATCAACTTCCTAAACCGTGATTCTGTCAAATCCCCACAATCCCTAGCGCACGCAGCCACTGAAGTAGAAGGGGTTCAACACAGACTTTCTAGGAGTTTGGCACTTGATTTCTGATCAAGAAAGAACTTAATACTGTAGGGAGTCTTTGACTAGTTGGTGACGGATCGCTAAAGCCTGCAAGTTTAGAGCCAAGAAACAGGCACATGCAAGGTAGAAAGAGTCGCATCTCAGGAAAGTACAGTCAA